TTACTCGACGACCAAAAAACAGATAAAAATTGACAATAACACATTGAAATAAACAAAATTATTAATAAAGATTGCATTGATACACGAGAATTGAAAAAAATCTTAAATATCACGACTTAAAATAAAATAATACAATAATAAGTACACAATACTCCATCTTATACAAGACATATTGTGATTAAATACATAAATAATACCGAAAATAGAAAAAAAATAATCTTACAAAATTGTTTTTTTTTTGAGCGGAGTCACGGAATGATAGTTTTAATAAATGCATGGCAAGTTTGTGTTGAAGCGAATCCATTAAAAGACGATATTTTGAAAAGTAAATACTGAAACAGCATTAAAATATTTCCAAAAGAGAGGTAAGCAGGGGACCACACATTAATCTAGTATTCATGAAAAATTACAAAAATCTAAATTCTGTGTACGACCCGGGCGTTGCATACAAGGCATCTTGCTTGTCAGTTGCACTTTTATCCCTGAAGGGGTATGAAGAGGTGCACATTATGCCACTGTACAATGTAACACCCACATTTCACTATTTATGTTATGAGTCCCATGTAATAGGGTGTGAGCCTATTGCCATATACCGGGCACAATTCCAGACTTCGTGCTACTATTGAGATTTTTTTAAACCCAGTAATACATTGCCGGACCCGGGAATCGAACCCGAGAACCCTTACCTGGCAGTAGCACTTGCGAACACTTGGCCAACGAGGCAGTCGTTTGGGGTATTTCTTTGGGGTGGTCAATAATAGTACAATTTTTAAACAAAATCCTGTGGCAAGCTCGCGGCGACCTATATCCATGGCGTTTTCCTTGCGGTCGTTTCCAAACGAATATCGCCTAATGATGATCGACGATCTTTGTCGATTGTATATTTACTTTTCAAAATACCAGGGACTCCTACACAGCGAAATCAGTGCTTAAAATTTATATTATTTAGTGTTTATAATACAAAACATAGGTCTTGAAATATATATTTTGTCTACTATTTTTGACTGTACGGGTGATGCAGTGGCTGAGTAAAGTAACGCAAGTTCGATCCCCGCACGGAACATATATTGTTCTCTGCATTAAATAGTAGACAAAAAACACATTTCAATAAATACAACAACTAGTAGGAAGGATTATTCAAAAAATATAAATTTCTAACAAGATACCTAGAATGGCAGGATTACAAAAATAACTATTAAAATTTTAGAATTTCAAAACTTCCATCAAAAACAAACATTTTCTTCTTTATGTTTTCATAGTTTTTAATTTTTGGAGTCATTTTTCTAGCTTAGTTTATAACTATTAGCTTCGTCCATGATAAGCTTGCGAAGTAATTAAAAAACGAAATTTTATTTCTTATGACCCCATAGTGACTGTTGGGGGTCATTAGACATTGACCCCGAAAATATATATAGCCTTTATGACATTTAGAACATAATAATAATAGAACAAGTTTCGAAAAAACCAGACCAGCGGGTGTCGAACCTACCTAAAGAATGTTATATTCTCTTTTTTATGGGATAAGCCAGTAAACGATCAGAGGAATCACCTGATGGTAAGGAATCGGCGGCGTCGCCTATGGACACCCGAAATATCAGGGGCGTTACAAGTGCGTTACCGACGTTTTGGGGATTAGGAATTTGAGGACTATTGGGGATTCACAGATTGGGGAGGAAGATAATTCTCTTGATATTACTCCAAAAATTAAAAAGTATGATAATTTAATACATAATAAATTTCAAATACCTAAATAATTTCGAAGGTACAACGTAGATATGAGGAATAAAAATATTTTTCTTTTATATTGTGCTTGATCCTAATATCGATTAATTTTTACACACAGGTACATCACCTAATCTAAGTAAAGCTATTCACGAGATTATTTTTACACACGTACAAACATTTTTTTATTAAATACTCCTTAAATACTAACAGTGGAAAAGCATATATTTAAACTTAATTTATTTATGAAAAATAAAGCTAAATACTGGCGCGAGTGGAGTTTTCCGACTCCTTTTTATGACCCCATGGGGTCAATAGGCACGAGACCTAAGTAATGTTTTTCATATAACCGGTATACGGTTAAAATGCTTTATTTTCATTTAATATCTTTCAATTTCCAAAAATACTCGAGATCAAAGAGATATTTCATTACCAGTTGATAATAATGGCGATTTCGTAACTCGTTATTTCAATTGTCATGGCAAATTATTTGAGATTCCCAATAAACAGATCGTGTTATCAATGGGGCCTAACGCGCGTGAATTCACCGCTAGGGGCGCTATTGTCAGAAGGGGTTTTTGAAATTCCAAATTCATACTTCACGGAGTTTCTTTGCGAGACCGAATAAAAAACCAGAAGACGAAACCAGGAGGCAAATGAACAAAGGTCGCCGACATAGCCCAGCGGATTAGCAACCTGAAGTGGCAGTGGGTAACCGGCGGAAAACCGACGGCCGCTGGGGCAGAAAAGTTCTCGAGTGGAGGCCGGCAAGCGCAGCTTAGGACCAGTGGTCCACTCACCTGGTGGACAGACGACCTGATCAAGGTCGCATGGAGCAAATAATAATTGATTAAAATGACATAACTCCTTCTGACTGTGGCGCCAACTGGGGGGCAAAACTCGGTAGGCCTCATTATTCGAATCTTGGTAAAATTCATATATTCTTGTTTTACGAGATATGATGGCAAAAAGCTCAACAATTGCGTTGACCTATACTTATCGATCGGTAATACACTTCGTGTCTTCGGGGGTCAAAAATATGTTTTGGCCCCTTAAACATGCTATTTTAAATCACTTCGCTAAAGTCATATCTTTTTTTTACGAGCAGACGGGTCACCGGATGACGTACGAGCACCTGATGTTAAGCAATCGCCGCCGCATACAACATCAGATGAGTTACAAGTGAGTTGCCTTTTCGCAATTAGGTATCGATCGATAATGATAGTTGCAACATTAAATTCATTAGTGTCGCCGTACAACCCACAAAAGTGATATTAAGACACTAGAATGGTACTTTTTGTGCCTAAAACTTCGTTGTACAACACTTAGTTCTAGATCATACAATATTTTGCTAAAACTACGACATGTTGTAATTTATGTACATTTTAACGGCAATATCTTTATTTACTAAGCATTGATTGTGCCTGGCTAGACGCTTAGGTATTGTAATTGTACATTAAGACCCACTTCATCAGTTTATGTAAGCGAAATAGTATATTTTTAAGTAAAAAAAAAATGCAAGAGCCATGTTTATTTTAGCACTGTAAATATTTAAAGTAATTCTTACTTATTGCAAGTAATTTTTAGTCCCATATAATAAGGAGCGAGTCTATTGCTGAAAAGTACACTAAATTGAGGATTTTTGTTATGTTCTGACAATTAAAAACCTAAAACCCAGGACACACTAGGGGGACAAATGTCTGGCAACATCAACGTCGCTGTGGACATAAGTTGCGCGTTGTCACCGTATTATATCAGGCGACATCGGCCGGCTTCGCTCGACATGCCACCGATACATGTCTTGGGACCTTTGTCCCCTAGTATATGCTTGAAGTTATTGTTACACATGGTAATTTTAAGCACAAAAGCATGGCTTAATTTAGCACTAGCTACTGTAACCTCACTCATACGACAAAACACAACGCAAGCGTTGCTTCACGTCGGTTTTCTGCTCGGCCGTGGTATCACTCCGGTCGAGCCGGCTCAGCAGTGCCGAAGCATGGCTCTCCCACACTTAAATGATCATTTTCGCTTACATAATAACTTCTTTAACAGTGTTTTTATAATAACTATCGGGAGACGCACTACATTAACTAAAAATCGCGGGTTACTCACGCGAATATACTGAGAAAAGCTCTACTAGTTTCCTACCACAGAGGGGTTCTTCCTCATGAGCAGCGTGTGCGGTCGCGGCGATGTCGCGCAGCCTACGAGAGCTTTTCTCAGTATATTCGCGTGAGTAACCCGCAATATTTAGTTAATTCTTTAACAATTTTCACATATAAAGTGGGTCTTACGCATTTAAGATCAGTGCGTTACCATAAAAATATTGTTATAATTAAAATATTAATTAATTTATGCTATAACCTTAATATATTGAACATCGACGCTTATTTAGTTATGGCAATTATTTTACATTTAATTTTAATTTATTTGTAAATATTTTCATTTACGTGATTCACGATTTTGACCTTTTAGGGTCACTTGGGGTTAATAGACACGTACTTTGTGGTGTCTTTTGACCCCAACTGACACTAGATACGCTCTTAACATGGGTTTTATGGAAAATATTTATAAATAAATTTAATTCAATAAATTTAAAGCAATATTTAAATATTAATACATTTTCGCCTAATTCTTTATTTTGGGCTGCTTTTATTAATAATATACACTTATATTTATTATAGTGTCTGTATGTATTGCTATGTTTTTTATCACAGTGTCGTGAGTGCGACAAAGTTGTGTTTACATTCGCGACTAGTTGTTGCGATTAATCGTAAGAAAATAATAGTATGTACAGTAAAACATAATTTAGATATTAAGATAAACATTTCAAGGAACACGATTAGTTCATTGATAATGTGCAGTAGGTTCGATTCCCACACGAAAACTTTATTAGTATCAACCTTAACTTATAAAATGATAGCTTGTCTAGTGAAAATAGATAATGAAAAAAATTTCTTTAAAAACGCACGATTCTTTATTCTTTTATCCGCAAACACGAAAAAAGCTGTCATAATATTATCAAATAACGTTTTATTACATATAATTCCAGTGAAATCGTCGCCAATCCAAACACAACTGTACGTCACAAATAATAAATCGTCTTTTCCAAATTGAAAAATAAATTTCTTAATAATCTGTGCACATGGAATGGTATTTTCATGAAAAACGAGATATGGAATGCCCTATACATTTACTAATAAATAATTTTTTCATTTAATTTCAAATAAATGATTTATATTTTACGAAAAATATATGAAACGACTATATAATAAAATTATTGTTTTCATTTAATTATTGTAATTTTTGTACAATCACCAATTGATTTATTCATACCAAAATAAATTATCTGACCCAATTTTCGGAGTGCATCGATCAATTTCGGAGTGAAACGGAGTCTTTAAATAAAGAAATTCTGTAATTGTAATTGAGTAAATATATAATAATGTTTGGTATAAATAAATTAAGTGACGAAGATAAATATTTTGATATTATTTTCATTTATACATAATACAGTTGTAAAGATAGTGATTTTTATGATATATTTGATAAAAATTACACGTTTATGTAATGTAATGATAATATAAATCACTGCCTTCACCTAAATGAATTCATATTCAATAACACGAGTCCAGTATTTAGTAGCAAGTACTTTAAGCTGTAATAACTAACACGATTTTAGTGATATTGGGAAACAGTGAAATACTATATTTAGGCATTTTACGCTGTAAACTGAGTGAATTTGAGTTACTATAACGAGCCAATTTTAAAACATATTATTATCTGTGTTGTGAGCTAAGATTGTTAGCAATTTTTAAATAGATAATCATAGGTCTTCTTGCATTCGTCCCAAATTTTTGACACTTTTTATAAAGGAATAAAAAGCGAGTCTGTCGTCTCACATACGGGACATTTCCAGACGCCGAAAAAATACAAAAGAATTGATGAAAATCAACTCTAATCACACATATTTTTTTAATATTGGATGGGTTGACGTTTGCCCACTATCTCGCCTGGTGGTAAGCGATCATGCGGTCTATGATGGAGCACGTCGTCACATAAGCAACCTATTCACTCGGGCCTTGAAGACACCCAGGTTATACTCTTCTCGCAAAAATGCCAATTACAGTAACGTAAAGTACCGTTACCAACACAATCACATCACCCAAAATAACATTGTACTTACAAAAAGCTATCATAACTTGTCTACTGAACACTGGACTCGATGCTAAACGCCATCTGTTGTCGAGTAGCGTTATTTGTGTTCTAGCGAGTTATTTTGTCAAACGGTTTTATTTAGCTTGTCCCTTTTGTCTTTTTGTGTCTTTAGTAATTGTAATTTCACCCCCTTCCTGACGAAACATCGGTCTGATATTTGGTACACACTCTTAATTTTGATGGCCATACAATATAATCAAATTGTTTCCACAACAACCTCTATTATGGATATCAAAAAGCGTTTGATTGGTAGAATACAGCTAATTAAAACCGTTTAACATATTTCACGCTAGCGAAATTGCGTTTAACCCTATGATTGGTTAGTTAAGTTTGGAATAGCCAATCAAAGCGCCGAACGTTATAAATATGTCGATAGCGTTTACATAAAACAAACTCGCACAAACTCTGAAATTCTACAGTAGCGCCACCTACCGTCGAGTAGCGTCGTATTGTTTTACAAGCTCGGGGATTGCATTCGGTTCCACTGGGACCTTCTGCATCAATTCCGCTAGACTTCGGACGTAAGATAGCTTGCGGAAGAATTTGGAACTGGGGGCAAACATGTAGAAAATATTAACAATAGTCATTATCGTACATCGGGCATACTTATCAATTTCATGTGTTCAAAAGCTAAACTACACTGTGAGACCCAGGAATCGAACCCAAGACTCTCTCGTTTCCTTGTGACACGTCGACCAACGATGCAATCGATAGACGGATCAATCAAATCGAGTACTTCAGTTCGACAACTAAACAACGTAAAAATACGTTATTTCGATATAACCAGAAAATCCCGAAGCCCGAAATCTCCAGTCCTCAAATCTCGACCTTCCAAAGGGCTGATAACTCCTCTGGTGTTGCGGGTATCCATCAGGTGATTTATCTGCTCGTTTACCGACATATGCCATAAAAAGAAAATGAACCAAGTATGCTTACCTCACAAAAGGCTTCGTCAATATGACAAAAGATTTCAGCCAAAACGTGGGATGTACTAGATAAAGATGTTTCAGGCTTTTACGTAATCTGAAACAATATTAGATAGTTATTTTTCAAAATATACTAAGATTTTTTAATAACTTATACAAAGAAACAAGAAAGCAGTTTCTCGATTACTCAAAAAAACTGTTCCTTTAGAGAACCGAACCCACGACATGTTACAGCTGCCAGTCTCTTGATTACTACACTAACTGCACTTAATGACAAATGACCCCAGTTTAGTCGCATATTTAATTCCACTTTGGCGTCAAATTAACCCTATTTTGGTGACCTATTCCAATCAAATTCTAATAGTTTATTTAATTGACGCCATTTAGTGTCCAATTGACCAAAGTTTGTATCTGACTCCATTTAATGACTATCAATAAGTGTCGTGACTATTGACCCCCAAATTAGTGTCATTGACCCCATATTAATGACTATAACCTATCACCCCCAAAACAACATACCTTCGATCAATAAGTTTATAGCACTCGTGTAGCCAGTGGAAGGTGGGCAGTCGTCTCCTGCCGGCGCTGCCGTGGAGGTAGACCAGCACGTAGTCGTCTGTCACCAGGCGTTCTAGTGTCCAGATCACATAACTGAAACAAATATTAAAAAAATACGTATTGTTCAAAAGAACTTGTCAAAAGTGATTGCCTGAACCGTAGCTGCGGACGACCTAGCAGGTTACCGTGGCTACGGCTCTAAGCAGAAGTAGGAACGGGGTGGTGTTAGTCAGTAAGAGTCTGACACTCTCTCTCGCCCCAACTAAGGGGGGAGTCATTGGATTACTTACAGCTACACCCCGCCTCGCGGGTAAAAAAAAAAGAGGTTAAAGGTACCCCAATGTAAGAGGTCAATTTTATGTCATGCCATAAACGAATTTAAAATTCAGCTTAAACTGTCAAACACCAAGCGGTCACCGGTGACCGCAACCTATTGTTCTATAATTGTGTCTATAATGACGGTACTCGACGAGTTAAAATTGACGATATCGCACGTTGCTCATATTTTACAAGTTTAAAGTAATTTTAAAGTTGACAAGACCCCGATGTCATAAATGGAATTAAAATTGGTCGCAAAAGTATCATGGACTCTTTAAAATTAGAGCAAAAATTGTCCTCAAGAAAATTATTAGCTGAATGTTAGAGCTATAACTAATCTTGGTTTTAAAAACAACTTCAATATACTTAACATAACATACCGCCTTTTTATAGGGGGTAGGCAGAGAGGTGCAGATTAGGGCACTTATTGCCACTGTACAATATAACACCCACTTTTCACTTTATATGTTCATGTAACAGGGGGTGAGCCTATTGCCATAAACCGGTCACATTTCCAGACTCCGTGCTACTACTGAGATTTTTTTAAAAACTCCAGTATAATTTGCCCGACCCGGAAATCGAACCCGAGACCCCTTGCCTGGCAGTCGCACATGCGACCACTCGGTCAACGAGACAGTCTACTTCTCCACAAATTACTTCTTCTACTACTTTTTTACAACTTCAATATTCAAAAGTAATTTCAATCGCAATATGAATGACCTAATAACCCCCAAAACATGTCAAACGACCCCAATACTTACAGGAACAGATTATCCATACAATAAGTATAATCCGGTCTCGCACAGTCCGGTAGATGGCACGCGCTGAACACTATGAGCGCTGCTCCACCTCCGTCGTAGCCGCCGTGGGATATCACACGCTTGTACGGTTCAATGACCTGTGATACACAGGGTGATTGAAAATCAACTTGTTTTGTAAACATATCTAAATGTTATGGCTGGTGATGGAAACAAACGGATAATGATGGCCTGAATATGAGTGCATCGTTGACTTCAGGGACACCCTGTATATGTATTCTCCTGAGTACTGTCTATGTTTTGGGCATAAATAAATAAATAAATAAATAAATAAAAAGTACACTATTACCAGGTGGGAAGGACAATGATGTTCAGTGGATACAAAATAAGATAATCATGACCAATAAGACAGACAAGAAATAGAAAGAGAAAGGTCTTCTGCAATCGATACGTCTTCCGACCGAAGATGAAGATGAAGATGATGAGGAGACCGACCTTCATATCACAAGTGACATGTCCCCCAGGTCTGGGCACAGTGATCCAGGCGCGCTCGTTGCTCAGCTCCTCCGCCGCGGAGTACTCCGGGATGGGGTCACTGCCTTCTGATAGCGTGTTTGTCGATTTTGACCTGGAAGCAAATGAAATTTATTTAATAACTTTACTGAAAACAACGCCTTAGCCTTTATGATCATGCAAACTAAACGTGTATACAACATTTTCAAAATATCACTACCGTTCCTTTCCCCAATCTCCCCAATCCTCAAATTCCTAATCCCCAAAACCGGTACTGGCCGGTAACGCGTCTCGTTACCGAGTGCAAAGAAATATTGCAGTCTTCACAGTATTTTGAAAATTTTTGCTTATAGTACGGAGTCGGCAATAGACTCACCCCCTATTACATGGGTCTCATAACATAATTGGTGAAAAGTTGGTGTTACATTGTATTTTTTTTATTAGGACAAGCCCGCCACAACCTAGCACCGATTCAACTACTGTACACCAGGATCTACAGTAGATTACGCTGAAGTCCGGCGGAACATTGAACTCCTTGGCGTCGCAGGGACATGAATAACTGTCTTGGATTTCACAACGAAATAAATCAGAAGTTATTATCATAATAGAGGTGAAGAAATAACATAGTTACATTATACAAGGTGTTGTTTTAAAGCCGCGTCATTTTCTAGGAGATAACTCGGCTACCGATTCTGAGTCCGAATCAATAAAAAAGATTGTAGGTAAATATTTTTCATTTTTCTGTAAATTACGGAAATCCGTAAGTGCGAACTACATGCCGCCGACTTGTAACGCGGCTTCACACACACAAACTCAAACACATAATTGATATTATTCCTAATTCCATAAAACTCCAATAAGAAACATTGCTGTCGTATATTCTGAAATAATGTCGAACTTGAACGATTTATTATAGCCGTATTTTTAACTATTGGCCCGAAATTTTCTCTTACATTGAACCTTTATGACTTCTGTGACATGCCCCCGAGAAGTGACGCGGTTTCAAAACTACACCTTGTATAATATGAATTATGTATGTGCACCTCTGTCAGGGTCAAAAGGGGTCATTATTAAACAACTTAAATAACTTTACTGGACCCCAATTCCACGGTCTTAAAAGTCAGCAGTCAGTAATGCACTTAAAATTTCCCTGGTGTTCCAGGTGTCCATAGGCGACGCTGATTGCTTACCATCAGGTGATCCGTCCGCTCGTTTAACCCCTTAAAATAATATATACTTACATTTTACTGCCCTCATCATCACTTAGTACCAGGTGTTGGTTGACCGGCGCCGTTCCCAACTCCTGAGGGTCTGCTGGTTCGTCTTCAGACTCCATGGAGCACGCGCTGACGCTGTCCAGGCTACATCTGTCTTCTTCTGGGGGCTGAGAAGTAAATTGCAATTTCACGTTAACGTTGGTTCTGACGTGACGTGACGAGATGTGTCATGACTTGTCATATTACATTATACATACAAAGCGAATTTATAGGACTGTTGAACCTGAGGCCTTAGGTTTGATACCACAGTTGGACAAAATAAAATTGTCCAATACTGAAACTGTGTCTGGTAAATGGTAATAGACATAAC